GGCTGTCAACACAGAGGCTGACACAAGGCTTAAACTCATCAACCATGAGGTCATGATCCGAGCTGAAGTCGGATGCTGAATCAACTATGCCACCCAGGCGACTCTGTCTTTAAGTTCTTTAATTAGTCTATCAATTAAAATATTTCATGCCAACACTTTCCTCTATTTAAATAAAAAGTGACAAGGTAAAGAACATAGACAAACATTATTGCGCATTTTAATTGGTATGTACAAATCCAAGCACTCAGTAATATAAGCATAAAATAACCAGTGTTCATTAACAGCCAGTAAATGAATTGATGTTAATTTTTTTAAAGTTAAAGTTTGTCTCCTGCACTGGTGCTTAGTGATAATTTGTAAGTTTCATGAAAAAGATGAGAGCCAAGTAATTACTGTACTTTATAATATGAAAATATAATGCCATAAATTCTAAGTTGAAAATGTAGGCAAAATGATATTCATTTTATTGACTATTTTGTTATTTATTACATACATAAGTATGCATATTTATAAGTAATATATATTATAGCACTGTATATAGTTATTTTCTGGCCCCTCCTTTTATTATACACCTCAGTTTATTTAAAATTGTTGGATGCAAGGGGTGCTTGGATGGCTCAGTTGGTTAAGCATCTGACTTTGGCTCAGGTCATGATCTCAGCGTTTGTGAGTTCAAGTCCCGCACTGGGCTTGCTGCTGCCAGCGTGGGGGCCTGATTCAGATGTTCTGTTACCCTCTCTCTCTGCCTCCCTGCTGCTTGTGCATGCATGCTCTCTCTCAAAAATAAACAAACATTAAAAATTAAAATTGTTGGATTCAAGTAAGTGGGTTTTCTTAAGCCTCTTCATATTCAAGTGTTAAAAAGTGAATGTTTTGTTACATATTTATGGCAGCAGAGATCATCATGTCTGAAGCGGAGAGATGGGCAACAGAATGACAGATATATTGAGTAAGGTCACTTATGAAGCACTTTAAAATCATAACAGAGGGGTGCCTGGGTGGCTTAATCGGTTAAGCATCCGACTGCAACTCAGGTCAGGATCTCATGGTTTGTGAGTTCGAGCCTGGCGTCGTGCTCTGTGCTGACAGCTCAGAGCCTGGAGTCTGATTCTGTGTCTCCCTCTCTCTGACCCTCCCCTGCCTATGCTGTCTCTCTCTCTCTCTCTCTCTCTCAGAAATAAATAAAACATTAAAAAATTTTAGAAAAAAAATGTAAAAAAATAAAATCATGGCAGAGAAGTTCAAATTTGATTTTTGTAGAGAATAAGGGATGACATGATGATTTTGAGCCTCAGCATGTCATGGTGGTGTTTAAGGAAAATTACCCCGGGGGGTGGCGTGCTAGTTGCCTCCTTTCTTTATTCTAACACGATGGAGAGAGAGTGAACTCTCTGATGTCTCCCTTTATAAGGAAACCAGTCCTATAAGATCAGGTTTCACCCCTGTGACCTCATTTAACCTTAATTATTTCAAATGCAGTCATATTGGGGATTAGGACTTCAACATATGAATATTTACGGGACAAAAGTCCAAAGCACATATGCTCATTAAAACTATAGGAGTGTAAGGGGCACCTGGGTGGCTCGGTTGGTTGAGTGTCTGACTTTGGCTCAGGTCATGATCCCACAGTTCATGGGTTTGAACCCCACATCAGGCTCGTCAGCTCAGAGCCTGGAGTCTGCTTTGGATTCTGTGTTTCCCTCTCGCTCTGCTCCTCCCCCACCCACACTCTGTTTCTCTCTCTCAAAAATAAATAATTAAAGAAAACATTTCAAAATTAAGAAAAAAACTATAGGAATGTAAGAAAGCTGATAATGAACTGTGCCATAATCTCAACCTAGAGAAGATATTCTCTCTTTATAGTTGTTCAGACCCTTCCATGTTTTCTAGCAGGCATATTTTTCTGTGTGTGTATGGGGGGGGGGGAGCGGTACACAAAGTAGGTGTTCGTGTTTATGATTATATTTTACATATTGTTTTGTAATCTAACATTCTCACTTAGCAACACCTCTTGGATTTTTCACAGTGGAGAATATTTTAAAAATAGTTATTCAGTACTAATTTTTTTAACACACTGAGTTGATACTATAGATTGAACTTTTACAGTTTTTTTCCCACATAAAATGTAGCATGTAAAATCTTTCTAGATAAAAACACTCATATCTATTCTTTTCAGATGCTACGTTAATATTCTACCGTATTAATATATCACATTGTATTGAGCCATTTATTCTTTTTTTGTGCTATCCCTTTAAGGGTGGGGACTTAGTTTCCTCTCACCCTCCCAGCTCTTCCAGAGCCTGCTGAGTTTTTAAAGTTCCAAGTTTTAAGTTGTAAGAACTCAATTGGGCTCCTCTGGTTTTCACCGCCAAATGTCAGAGGGATTCATCCTCCCCATGTGTGCTCCCTGTGTGGGGGTCTCTTTGTCTCCCCTCTCCTGACAGGCACTGTGCTTCCCTCCTGCAGACAGACAGTTTCTGAGGGCGGTTACTTCTAGACCCTTGCCTCAGCCCCTTCCTACCCTCTTCCATGTGGCCTTTTCTTTCCATATAGTCGTGGAGCTTATTCTGCCAGGCTTCAGGTCAGTTTCGGGGTTATTTATACCGATGTGAGCATTATCTCGCTGTATCCGTGGGAAGAGGGTCGTCCTACTCTGCGAGCTTCCCCGGAACTCCCATCCATTCTCTTCTTGATGGATAGTGAAGTCACTTGTGATATTGCAAAGGCATCCTCCCCATTTCTTTCCATGCACCGCTGTAAGCAGGGGGTAGGCTTCTAGGTGACTGAAAACGAACAGTTTGCAGTTTGATACATAATGCCTAAGTGCTTTTAAACAGTGTACAGTCCATATCATTTATCATCCCTGAGTGTTATCACTTTAAAAGTTTAACAAACATTAGAGTAAAAGCAAGAGGCAATTGTCTTCCTTTCATAATTTTCTCGTTTTTTTTTTTTAATTCAGTTTGAACATTATCATATTTGCTCATGTTCCTTTCTTTTATTTAAACTCTGTCTCCTGTGGCTCCTGGGTAGCTCCATCCGATAAGTGTCCTACTTCTGGGTGTCTCAGTTGGTTAAGCGTCCTATTTCAGCTCAGGTCAATGATCTTGAGGTCCGTGATCTCAAGCCCCACATAGGGCTCTGAGCTGTTACTAGTCCAGCATCGAGTTCTGTGCTTATAGCTCAGAGCCTGCATCCTGCTTTGGATTCTGTGTCTCCCTCTCTCTCTGCTCCTCCCCAGCTCATTCTGTCTCTCCCTCTCCCTCCTTCTCCCTCCCTCTCCCTCTCTTTCCCTCTCTCAAAAATAAACCTATAAAAATAAAACAAACTATCTGTCCTTATCTACTGCTAACTTCACTTTTGATTTACTTGTATTTTCCCCCTTTGTTGCAGAACTCTTCATTTATTATTAGGATATAAATTGTTTCAAAATGTTGTCTTTTGATTTTATTTATAAATCATCAAGTAAATTAATGAACTCGTGACTGAATAAGAAAGATTAAAAATCACTAATTAAAGGGGTGCCTGGGTGGCTTAGTCGGTTAAGCGTCCGACTTTCGCTCGGGTCATGATCTCGTGGTTCGTGGGTTCGAGCCCCGCGTCGGGCTCTGTGCTGACTGCCAGCTCAGAGCCTGGAGCCTGTTTCAGAGTCTGTCACTCCCTCTCTCTCTGACCCTCCCCTGTTCACACTGTCTCTCTCACTCTCCTAGAAATAAATAAAACATTAAAAAAAATTTTTTTAAATAAAAAAAAATAAAAAAATAATTAAAATGTGTTAAATTTATCATAAGCATGTGTACACAGGCCACTGTCGGATCATAGAAGGTAGATCTAAAGCAAAGTGGAAGGTATATGAAGGTCACCTGCACCAGGTGAGACTTGAGCTGTGCTCTAAAATGTGACTGGAAGTCAGAAAAGATGAAGAGGTTTTTCTAGGAGGGGGATGCAGTAATCCAAAAGGAAAAGAGCAAGATCTGGAATTTATACGTGTTTCACTGTGCTCAGAGCTACTTTAGAAGTTGAAATTTTAGTTTTCTTCTGTAGAGTTAGGATCCTGATTCCTGGGCAAATTGTGACCATCCTACAATCTTGCATTAGCTTAGATTACATTGGATCATGGGGTCATACTCTACTATCCCATCACCCGGGGCTGGTGATATGGCTCTAGGTCCTAACAAAGGTGACACAATTTCTGTTTCCTGGTGAATTGATATACTTCCAAGATGTCGAATGTTTAAGCTTTAAGAAAATATTGCTTCCCTGACAGAATTTGGGCATCATCTTGCAAACATGCTCAAGTTCTTGTATTAGAATGTAGAGATGTTAGGGTTCTCCAGAGAAACAGAACCAGTAGTAGAGATAGATAGATAGATAGATAGATAGATAGATAGATAGATGATAGATAGATAGATAGATAGGGATTTATTGTAAGGAATTAGCTCATGTAATTATGGAAGAAAAACCCCAAGATCTGCAAGGGGTTGGTAAACTGAAGACCCAGGAGAACCGATGATGTAGCTCCAGTCTGGTGGCTGACAGTCTCAAGACTTAGGAAGAGCTGAGGTTTCGATATAAATCTGAAGGCTGGAAAAAAGAAAAGAAAACAGAACAGAACAAGACAAAACAGTCTCAGCTCAAAGGCAGTCAGGCATGAGGAATCACCCTTTCTCAGGGAAGTGTCAGCCTTTCTGTTGTATGTAGGCCTTCAACTGATTGGATGAGGCCCAGCCACATCAGGGAGGGCAACCTGCTGCAATTAGTCCACCCATTTAAACATTAGTCTCATCCAAAACACCATCACAGAAACATGTTGCATAATGTTTGACCAGATGTTTGGGCATCCCATGGCCCAGTCAAGTTGACAGCAAATTAACAGAGTAGAGTTAGCAGATCGGGTGTTGCTATTGCTCGTCAGGGTTTTGTTTTGTTTTGTTCTGTTTTGTTGTTTTCTGGTTTTTTTGCATGTTCCCTGTTTTCAATTCTTTCCTTCCCCTACCCAGGAATTATTTACTTAACATCAACTCTTAGTCATTTGGACGCTACTACACTTTTGCTGATGGTCTGTGCTCGAGATGGTGGCGGGCTCACATCCATCATTAATGCCGACATCACTATACACGTTCTTCAGACAATGCTGGCGCCTGCTGAATTTGAAAGGCCTAAGTATACTTTCTCAGTTTATGAAGATGTACCTGAAGACAGTCCTGTGGGAACAGTGAAAGCAAAAGAGTCCTGGAGTAAGTACTTCTGAGGCCCTGTTAAAACCCATGATTGGAATCATTTCTTGTGTTGCCTTAGGCTGTGCAATCTTGAATGAATCTTTTCCTCTCTCCATGCAAGAAGAAAGGGAGACCACACAATCTGTGATGCACTCTTTGTTCTTTCAACATTATTTCTATCCTACAATTTTTCCTAATCAAAAAAGTGATAGGTACTTTGAAAAGTTTAAAACAATGCAGAATGATTATAATGTAGAAAGTATGCATCTATAACCCACTCTTCCAAACACACACATGTGTACACACACACTTTAAAATTTTTTATGAAAATATATCCTACTACATTTTTTTGTTTTACAATTACTCTTTCCCCCCGACTTTATAGATGGAGGACAGTTTTCTAAGTAACTGGATATCATTCTGTTTCATTTTAAAAAAAAAGATTGCATAGTACTTTCACTTAGATGTAAACATGTTTTGCTGTTAATGTGAATGATTTACAATCATTTTTTGCTAGTCCTAATAATATTCAAGCAAATATCCATGTACAGCTTATAGAGGTTTCTCTGCAGGGCACATACCTGGAGGTGAATTACTTGTCTAAAGATCTTGTCCTGCTCACAGTCTACTTCTTCTGTGTCCTCATCCCTTCCCTTACTGTTTTTTGGGGGTATGTGCCATTCCTAGGTAGATATCATAGAAAAGCATCAAGTAGAAACTTAACCTGTCTTCCCCAAATATGTAAAGCAGGCATCCAAATTATTTTCTGAATATCTTTCCCTTTTACTTAATATAAAATTATTGAAAGGAAGAGAGTGAAACCTGTGCCTTACTCCTTGTCCATTGGACATTATCCTTGTTCACGAATCCGTCTTAACCTTGTATCCACTTTCCAGTAGATTTTGGAGAGCCGAGGAGGATGTAACACACTGCATAGTGTTTTCCACGGATGTAGTATAGATTCATGCTTTTAGTGGGTGCATTCTTTTGGCACAGGGTGACTGTTTTCTTTCTCTGCCTCTAACCCCCCTCCCCCCCCTTATTTTCAGATTCCTCGGAGCCAGTTTCTTACAGAATCTCCTCTGGTGATCTGGACAGAAAGTTCTCTATTCACCCATGGCTGGGTGTCATTCGAACCCAGAAGCCTCTGGATCATGAAACTCAGCCCGTGGTTGTGCTCACAGTGCAAGCACAGCTCGGCGGCTCCCCCGCCTACAGCAGTACAGAGGTCAACATAACTGTAATCGATGTCAATGACAACCACCCAGTATTTCCCAAAGCCTCTGATGAGGTGAAAATATCCCAGACCACTCTGCCTGGCACAGCCTTGTACCTTGCCCGTGCACAGGACAAAGATAGCGGGCAGAATGGATTCATCCGATACACCATTGCAAACCAGAATCCAAGCATCTTTTCCATTGACTCGGGGCTTGGTGTGGTGTACCTCAATGAGAGTCTGGGAAGTGACGCGCCCCAGAAGTGCACGCTAACTGTCATGGCCCAGGACCTGGGCGTTCCTCCTCGGGCATCCCTATTAGTGCTGACAGTCGTGATCGAAGGACAAATGCAAAGCCCGTCTTTGACTTTTGCAAACTTGGTCTATCAAGTGGAAGTTAGTGAGTCTCTCTCACTCATGACCCAAATACTGCAAATACAGGCCTACCCACTTGGGCCACAGCGCGCAAACTCGGAGCTCCTGTACTCGCTGGGACTCAGCGCAGACTCTGCCGTGTTTGGCATCCGCCCTCACACGGGTTGGATTTATTTGCGGCGACAGCTTGACTATGAATCCACACAGACATATAATTTTAGGGTGTTTGCCTGGACCCCGGAGGACAGATTGTCGCAAAATGTGAGCACTTCAGTAATTGTTCATGTCCTGGATGAGAATGACAATTCCCCTACCTTCTTGCATGATGTGTTGTTTTTGAAAGTGGAGGAGAGCCCCGTTCCCCAAGGGGTAATAGGCAAAATTACAGCAATTGACAGAGACTCGGGAAAGAATGGACAGCTGTCATATTTCCTTTTGTCTGATGGAAAATTCTTCAAGATGAATCCTAATACAGGTAGCATTTTGTAGCTTCCACTTACTCCTTTAAAATCAAAATTAACAGAACTCAAACCTTTACCTATAACATTAGTACAAACATGTAGTGAAAGCTAGTTTTTAGTAGATACTTATTCAATTAGAGTATTGTGATTTCAAAATGCAGTCAAAATTAAATAGAATTTTACCTATAATGATTCATTCTTCTCTTCCCTCACACCCACATATTGCCAATATATGGTTCTTATTCTAAATTAGAGGTATGGTCAGAATTGGGCTGAATGAATCCTTGTGCAAAGTCTAATCCCCCCCCACACAACCATTCTTTTTCACTTGTAGATGTTTTTTTTTTTAATTTTTAATGCCAACTATTTTATAAAAGATAAATGTCATTGATGTAAAACTAGAAAATAATCCATCAGGTAAGATTTCAAAAGCATTCTATTGGTGTATTTCCCCATTTTCATTCTGATAAGGGAACCATGATGAAAGGGCAAATATTTCCACTGAGTTTTTTCTCCAAGTCTTCATTATGAAGTTAAATGTAAAAATACTATTATATTTTTACATTTGTATTTCAGACATTTACAAGGATTTTATTTCATTCTGTAACTGCCTACAAATGAAATCTGTTTCTATTGCAGTCATAGAGCTAAGCAAACGGAGACGCAGATAGCTCAAGTAACATGCCCAAGGTTATGGAGCTGGAGGAAATAGAGGAGGCCTCCACTTCATACAACTCCAGGAGATACCGGTTATGTCATAGCCTTTGTAATCGGTACCCCGTGCCCTACAGTGGGACAGAATTTGAATTTGGTTCTGATTAACTTCAGTCCTTTATAAAGTGCCGGTTATGTGAATTAGGAACGGGTGCCCCTTCCTCCAGCAGATGGAGCTTTACCCCAGGGCACATGACTTGCCAGGAAGACTGAAAACTGGGGTTTCAGCTCCCATTCACTCCCAAGCTGGGATGTCCTCTGCAGGGCACAAAGTGCACACCTCTACAGGGTGACCTGCTTGCTCTTTACTTCCCTACAGGACAGCTTTGGAGGTCTTCTATTTCACTTGTGGGGTTTTTTTTTTTTCCACTTGGTATTTAAAAAACAAATTAATTAAAATATGTAGTTGGCTCCCCCATGGTTTTCTCTCTCTCCTACAATTAGTCCAGCACCCAGATTCAGAAAGGCCAGGTGTCCTTTCCTCGAATTGAGGTATGGCTTTCAAGCAAGTAGCTTAACCTCAGAACTCAGTTTCCTCACCATGGATAGAGTGAATAGAGGGGGCTAATTCCTGCCATGCTTCGTGTCCTGCTCTGAAGGGAAGAGAGCTAAAGTCCATGAAAGGGCTTGGAAGACTACCTTCTCTGTTCCCATTCCCCAGGGATGGGTACAATGTGGTAACACAGGGGTTGAGGGCACTCTTCAAAGCATGGTGGGCGCACCTGTCCTCCCCACCCTGGTGCTCTGAGTGGTCTCCGTGGTGACAGGGACTAGCTCCCATGGAAGCCTGCCTCGGCATTCCCTGTGTGCGGCCCCACGCTGGGCTTCACAGTCTTTTTCGCCACTAACCTCCAGACTGCTACTTGTCAATTGGAGTTGGTTCATCAAATAAAAATGTGCTTGCCATTCAGGGTATGGGGTCTTCAGAAGAGAAGTACAGCTTGGAACTTTAAAAATCCATTTGCCTTGTATGTGATTTTTGTTAAAAATCTCGTAAATGCTACATAAACGTAGTTTATGTAGTAAACACTGCATTTTGACTCATCAATTCAGCACAACTTACCCTAATGTGAATTGTCCTTTCTGTTTCTAAGTTCATTTTTTGTTTCGTTTTACACACTGTCATTTTATTCAGATGAAGAGGGCAAAGGCAACTGGAACTCGCTTCATATTGACTTTCTCGTGAATAGGTATTTCCATAAATAGTGAGGCAAGTAATGGTGGTGGAGCTCTGCAGCAGGCGCTGGGCTTTGGGGAGAGAACACGTGGTGGCCTCCCATGCCCTTGGCAACAGGTAGAGGCCACTACACTTTTATGCCCAAGTCTCCATGGCTGAAACATGAGGGAAGTTACCCAGAAAACAGTTCTGAGCAAGAACATAGAAAATAAGGCTTGCAAAGCTTTGAGTTATTTGGGAAGTCACTACCCATTGCTACACATATATTTTGTCACATAATAATAAATAGCTATTTACATAAAAGATAATGTATTCGATTTCCAGGAAGATATTTTAGCCTTTTTAAAGTACTGATAGCAACTGTCATGTTTGTAGTAATTTACAGCTTACAAAACACTTTTGAATTATTGATTGTATTTGTTTCTGGTAGCCCTAGGGGGTAAGCTAGGGAGAGGTCCTTCCATGTCTGAAGTGGAGAAACTGAGACCAAAACCCAGAACTTGTAATATCAGAGCTGCTTTTCATTATTTTATAGAGCAGTATGACGAAGGATATGCTAGGGGGCACCTGGGTGACTCAGTCGTTTAAGTGCCAACTTCAGCTCAGGTCATGATCTCATGGCTTGTGAGTTCAAGCCCCTTGTGGGGTTCTGTGCTGACAGCCCAGAGCCTGGAGCCTGCTTCAGATTCTGTGTCTCCCTCTTTCTCTGCCCCTCTCCTGCTCATGCTCTGTCTCTCTCTTTCCAAAATGAATAAACAGTAAAAATAAATAATTTAAAAAGGATATGCTGTAATTTTAATTCTTCTAAATTATTACAAAATTCCCACAGAGTACTTATCATTTATTTTTATGATCATTTTTTTAGTTCAAATGGTTGATGGTAGATAGTTTGAAATATAAAGAGGGACAAATTTAAAGTGGCATTTTCAGAGGACACTTCAGGAAATTTAACAGGAGAGTCAAACTACTAACGTACATCATCTCTGAAACTGTTCATTCACTCTGAGTTTTCTATCTGGTTTTCCTTTCTGTGATTTAGCTTGGATGTGGTTCATAATGGCAAGATTTTAGTACATAGTGATAGCCTCTTTTGTTCAACTCCGTGTTCCTTAGGCGAATTGCTCAGTTGGGTGGCATTGGACCATGAGCATCAGGTGCACCATCAGGTGACCGTCTTAGTGACCGACCATGGCTCCCCACCACGAAACACCAGCATGGTGGTTTATGTCTCAGTCACTGACATCAATGACAACAAGCCATATTTCCCACAGTGTCTCCCTGGAAAGGAATTGCACGTCAAGGTTTGTAGAGTGAAGTAGCCTTGCAATGATTTTGTAATGTTCTTAGTCATTTGTTTTGAGCACCATCTTGTGGTAAAAAGTGTGAACTTATCAAATCAGCCTTGGTGTGGCAATGCATACATTTCCAGAAGATCTGGAAACTATTCACATGTCAAAAAAACCACCCATGAATTAAAAAAAATAAAATGATTGTATGTGCTATTTGGGATCGCACATCTAGTGTTATGATAATGCAGTTTTGCCCATTGCACACAAACCTAATGGTGCCACATTATCAGTAATGCTCAGGTGTGGATTGTTTTTCCCATAACTTGCATGCATCTCTTTGTGCAGGGCTCCTTATGGGCAGTTCGTACCCATCTCTAAGCTAGTTAGTTAAATAGAGGGGAAATATTTGTAGCTCTAAAGGCAACGGGCAACCAGAGACTATCAAATTTGATCTTTGCTAGCACATGCAAAAATTTCTCGTTATTATCTATATTATTTCATCTTTTTCATTTCCACGTTTTCTATTTTTTATACTATACATAATAAGTCAGAATGTTTGTATATGGACATAATTTAAAAATCTATCTTGGAGGTACTTATACTTTTTTAAATGAATGGGCTATATGAATAAAAAGTTTGGAAGCTGATACTCCAAAACAACTGGACACTCAAATTGTGCTCAGATATGCATATTGAACAACTCGGAAAAGGTACTGAGACAGGTAATAGCTTGAAAATCATCTTCCAGAGCCGTATTTAAAGAAAATTCTACCAAAACAAAGCATTATTATAGTATCATTTTGATTTTAATTATATGATTAAGATATCCCATGGCAAGATAACAGGACTCTGTACTCGGAGTTCAACTCCACATGTACATTTCAAAATCCTCTGAAAGTTCCTGTTAACTAGTGAGGTATGTTACCTATATGAGGTGTGTTTCCTGAAATAAAGGTTTATATCAATCTCTAGCATATTTGGGGAATGAGAAGATGCTAGAATTCTTAAAATATGTCCAAAATCTAAGATCCTTTAGTCAATTTAGTTTTTTTCCTCAAAATTAATTCAAATGCTGCAAATAAATTGCCCAAATTGTGTGTAAGATTTAAATTTATAGTGCTGTTTCTTTTCATGGATTTGCATTTATATAAAAATTACTTATATAATTTATATAGTAGACAATTGAGTTATATGTGGATTTTAAAATAGTTTTCAAAATGTGTAGTAGTAATGTGTTCTGTCACTTAAAGATTCATATTTCTTTCTAAAATTTCACTAGTTTTAAGCCGTTTGTTTTAATGATAGGTTCTGGAAAGTCAACCAGTAAATATGTTGGTTACAACTGTGTTTGCAAAGGATTTTGACGAAGGAAACAATGCAGAAATTGTATATTCAATATCTTCAGGTAAGAGTCACCCTCATAAAGGATTAGAAGCTTTTAAAATTTCCTCTTTTGTCTACTAACTACCTACCTTCTTCTGGGAAAATAGTTATTGTTGAAAATAACACCAGGCACAAACAAAATACTCTGTTATTTTCTAGAATCGCCTTTATTTTAAAAAAATAACATAACCTTTTCATGTAAATCATAGTAGATTTTGTGTATGGAAACCAAGCAATGATCTGCCTTAAATGAGTAATTTTCAGTAATCTGAAATGCAAATCAACTTTTATTAAAAGTGAAGTATTTAGTGAATCAAATTGTATTAAGTATAAAGACATATAATTATGAATACCAAGAATCTCTGGGTCTCTGAAGACTAAATATTCTTAAGGTCAAGGTAAATCACATTTGGAAAATGTCACATATGAACATATATATGTATGTTGGAACTTCATGTTTATGTTTTTGTTTTAGAATGTAGAGGCCTCAGATTTGTTTCAGTGATAAGCTTTAGTTGGCATTGCATTTTACACTATTTTTTATTATTTTATTTTTAAAATTTTTAATATTTATTTATATATTTTAGAGAGAGGCAGAATGTGAGTGGGGGAGGGGCAGAGAGAGAGGGAGACACAGAACCCAAAGCAGGCTCCAGGCTCTGAGCTGTCAACATAGAGCATGACGTGGGGCTCAAACTCACTAACCTAAAGATCATGACCTGATGTGAAGTCGGACACTCAACCTACTGAGCCACTCAGGCTTCCCTTTACACTATTTTTTAAAGATATTTGTTGTTGGAGCACTTGGGTGGCTCAGTTGGTTAAGCATATGACTTTGGCTCAGGTCATGATCTCACAGTTGATGAGTTTGAGGCTTGCATCGGCTCTATGCTGACAGCTGAGCCTGGAGCCTGCTTCAGATTCTGCCTCCCTCTCTCTCTGTCTGTCCGTTGCTCATGCTCTCTCTCTCTCTCAAAAATAAACAACAACTTAAAAAAATTTAAAGATATTTGTTGCTTTGTCACATTTATCACAAGCATGGGAAAGCAAGAGGTAACATTACCCATTATGCAGATAGTGTCTACATGGAAAACCCCAAAGATCCTGCAGTTAAACCATTGGAATGAAAAAGATAAAAAACTTCTGGGAACTGTGTCAATATACAAAACCACTAACATTTTAAAACCTAAGCAGATTTTCAAAGATCTCACTCACTGTAACAAAGAAAACCATAGGGTATTGGGGCAGATTTACTGTGTAATAATAATGGAGTTTAAGTTTCAGGGCCTTCACCTGAAGAGCTCCTCTGGGATGGGAGTAGGGGACAGTGAACAACTTATATTTGTAATATTGTCCTATTTTTCTTAAAGAGAGCTTCTTACAGCACCTGGGTGGCTCAGTTGGTTAAGCGTCTGACTTCAGCTCAGGTCATGATCTCATGGTTCGTGAGTTCAAGCCCCTCATCAGGCTCTGTGCTGACAGTTCAGAGCCCGAAGCCTGTTTCAGGTTCTGGGTGTGAGTGTCTCTCTCTCTGTCCCTCCTTCACTCATGCTCTGTCTCTATCTCTCAAAAATAAATAAACATTAAAAGAATTTCAAAAAATAAAAATAAAAAACAAAGAGAGCCCCTTACATAATATGTTTCAAACCCCTCCCCCCCAAATCAGGATCATCCTGTTAGAGCCTAGGGAGGCAAATTTCAATGAAAGACATTCAAGACCTTTATGTAGAAAATAACAAAATATTAATGAAAGATCCTAAAGAAGACCTGGAGGTCTTGCACAGGAAATCTATAAGGTGACTCTGTACCATTTTGTCATACCAGGTACAGGAAGGCTACTACAGGCGACTAGGATCATATTAGAAAAGTTCAGGAATCAACTTTAAGAGGATCCCACTGTTCAAAGAAGGGACAATTTGAACATCAATAAGAATGATTATGACAATAGATTGAAACCCTGCTAATGTGTTTAAATTCATGCTTAATGATTCTTAAAACAGGCCCTAAACAAACCTTTCATTGTCATAGTTGGAGCCCTAGATGATGTTAGTGAACCAGTCCATTATTTTGAGCACTGTTAAAAAAAAAAAGTTTAGCATCAAATATTTATCCTGACTTTCCTATGATGAACTGTTCCCTTGGGTTACCACTATGTAGGTGAGAAGTTTCTCTTTATTACTATATTCCAGCTAATAAATGAAGAATGGATGTTAGACTCAGAATATTGTACTTTGCCACACTGAATGTGTCTTTAGTGTATGGTGGCTATACATCAGTGGGGGCCAACTTCAAAAAAAAAAAAAAAAGGCCGTCAGACATGTGCTTTTGAAGGAAAGTGCAAAACAGCACTTTATGAAGTAATCTTGCCCACCTCCCCAACTGAACCTGAATCTGATTAACTTTCTAGAACCACCTCCCCATTTAAGGAATAGAGAACAGAGGAACACATTAAGCCACAGGGATGAGAACCCATGAAGATAAACTTCAGGAGACATATCCAGTTTCTTAAACAAATGAGTTGCAAGAACAAAATGAAGAGCTGGATAACAGAAGTGCACAGATTGAAGAGATATGCAAATAGGGACTGTATGTTGAACCTGAGCTGAGCTAACTGAAAAAAAAATGAAAAAGAAATAAAAGTTATGAGACAATGGAAATTTAAAACTGGCTATATATATTTGATGAGATTAAGGGATAATTATTAATAAAAAATTTAATGTTTATTTTTGAGAGAGGGAGAGAGACAGAGCATGAGCAGGGGATGGGCAGAGACAGAGAGGGAGACACATAATCTGAAACAGGCTTCAGTCTCTGAGCTGTCAACACAGAGCCTGAAATGGGACCCGAACTTGGAAACTGGGAATGGTGAGATCATGACCTGATCTGAAGTCAGACTCTCAACGACTGAACCACCCAGGTGCCCCTATAATTATTAATTTTTAATAGAATAATGAAGTCCTGTGACTACATTAAAACGTTCCTTTTTTAAAAGTTTTTTTTAAGTTTATTTTGAGAGACAGAGACAGCGTGAGTGGGGGAAGAGTAGAGAGAGGGAGAGAGACAGAAAATCCCAAGCAAACTCCTCACTGTCAGAACACAGCCCAGCGCAGGGCTTGAACTCATGAAACCATGAGATCTGACCTGAGCCTAAATCAAAAGTCAGATGCTTAACCAGCTGAGCCACCCAGGTGCCCTTGTTCCTTACTTTTTAGAGATGCATGTTGAATATATACAGACGAAATGATAGGATTTCTGGAACTTGCTTCTAAAGAAAATGGTAAAGGGAAATTATATGATTGGCGAATAAAGATCAGTCATGAGTTGATAATTACTGAAGCCACAATGATACGCATACAAAAGCTCATTGTAGCATTCTTCCTATTTTATGTATGTTTGAAATGTCCATAATAAAACATTTAAAAATCTGTTATACTTCTTGTCCATATTTTTAGTATTATTTTATGTTCATACACTCACAGAGCTAAAAACAAAGCTTCCAAATTATATGGGCATGTGGATTAATTAATTCTCTATTTTCTGCGTTGTCAGTTAACATTGATTTTTTCATTTCTGTGTGTCTATAGAAGATAGTTCTGATCACTTCAAGATCGATGCCAACAGTGGTGAAATAAGAACAACCACAATACTTTCACATGACCACAGACCCTCTTACAGGATGACCGTATTTGCCAGTGACCAGGGAGAGCCTCCTCTTCAAGGACAGGCCATCATTAATATCCAGGTAATATTCGATTGTCAATACAGTGAAAAGATGTTCTGAGGGATGCCTGGGTGGCTCAGTCAGTTAAACCTCTGACTTCAGCTCAGGTCATGATCTCGAGGTCTGTGAGTTTAGCCCAGTGTTGGGCTCTATAATAACAGCTCAGACCCTGGAGCCTGCTTGGAGTTCTGTGTCTCCCTCTCTCTCTGCCCCTCCCACACTCATGTTCTGACTCTGTCTCTCTCAAAAATAAATAAACATTAAATTTGTTTTGATTTTTAAAGATATTCTGAAGGTTTGATTTTTATACAAATGTGTACAGTGAAGATACCTTAAATAATGTGAATGCTATTTTCAGAGAGCATTGTAGACTTGTGTGTGTCTTTTTATTATGACTTGAGAAATAATTAGACCCAAATAACTTCTAACTTTAATTTTGTACAGTTCCTGACAGGATGTTTCCCTTTCTCACTCCATAGGGTCACTGCATTTACGTTGCTTTGCTTATGAAGAACAAAAAAGTGTCTTGTCTTTTACTTTTTCCTAATTGCAAGGACCTGGCAAATTTATGTGAGAAACTTGTGTATAAACACGTGGTCAATAATAAATCACGTAGTTCTTTGTAATTTTTCTTAAATTTAGAAAAGTCACTTGAGAACTGTATTTTAAGGCTTTGCTTTAATCATAATGAGCAAACAACTTGTGGGAAGTCTTCATTGTAGGAAAAATTCACACTAACCAGTCAAAGATGAGATGATTGTGCTTAGCTAGATTTCTTTGTTCATGCACATGATAATCAGTAATATTAGTATAGATGTGTATAATAATCAAGAATAGATATCCCTAAGAATTCTCTTTCCAAATTATATTCTTTGTTGACTGAGGATATGTGGGTTAGGAGAAAATTCTATATCATAATACTTCCAAGTCTCTGGTTTCAGATAAACAAAGACACATGATACATAAATGTGCACAGATGTTGTCATTATGGATATATTGGTCTCTAGGATTTAGAGTAATTTGGAGATCTATCCCACAGTCTTGTTGAAGAATCACAAAGCTGCAATTCAGCTTAACTGTAGAACAGTCTTACCAAACCTCATTTCATGCATTAGAACAAATGGGAAAGTGGAAAATTCTGTACTTTCTTATCTCCTAGATATTATCACACATTATGACAAATGGGAAAGTGGAAAATTGTGTACGCTCTTATTTATCTCCTAGATATAATGCAATTTTCAGTCTTCAGAGACACCTTGGAATTATATGATAAAAAAGGCACTTTCTCACCAATTAATATGTGTGTCATACAAATGGAAGGAATTCACTTCCAAAATAATATCATCACATCTATCTATCCATCTGTTAAAAAGGATCTCGAATTAATAGCTCCTTTCCATTCTTATTTCAGGTGATACCACTGTCTTAAGGGAGAGCTATCATTTCTCAGAATATTAGACACTTAGTTTTACCGGAAAACTTGAAGCCTGCAAAAATAATGAGCTTGATAAAGTCACCCGATCACCTTCAGCAACATCATAATGGAAAGTTACATTTTAGTATTGCTGCAGATGACCAGGATGGTCACTTCAAAATTGACAGCTCAACAGGTGACTTATTCCTTTCTAAGGAACTTGATTATGAAATGACATCGCATTATTTATTCAGGGTGGTTACTAAAGACCATAGCAAAACCCCTCCCCTGAATAGCACAGTCTTCCTTAGTATTGATGTGGAGGATCAGAATGACCATTCCCCGTCTTTCCAAGAGGAGCTCATTGTGATAAGCGTGAAGGAGAATGTCCCTATAGGGACACTGGTGCATGTCTTCAATGCCAAAGATGGAGATGGCAGTTTTTTGAACAGTAGAATTCAATACTTCATCGAATCCCACCACCCTGGAACGAGTCCATTTCTCATCCACCCCTCATTTGGCACATTAGTCACCGCATCCCCCCTTGACAGAGAGAGAGTTCCAGCTGTCGTCCTGACAATAACAGCATCCGATCAGGCTGTGAATGTGACAGACCGGCGCGTGGGATCACTGATGGCAAAGGTGGTGATTTTGGATGTAAATGACCACAGCCCCACTTTTATGTCTTTTCCCATTGCCCACATCAAAGAGGATGCCACAGTGGGCTCCTTGGTGCACCACATAACTGCTCAAGATCCAGATGAAGGAAGGAATGGAAGAGTAACATACAGCATCCTTTCAGGAAATGAAAACATGGCCTTTATGCTAGATGAGTCATCAGGTATGTATGTCATTGTCAATGAAAGTCTCTGATCACTTGCTTACATTTGTCCTTTTCATTTTCCTATGTTAAAATGATAGTCCCCAAGATCTATTGACTTTAAAGAAATGTGGCTTGATTTACCATTTAGCTTATGTATACGATCGGCACATACACATATATGATAGGTTGTATTCAGAGAACCAACTGTAATTGACCTCTTCGTTGAAATTAAAATTGACTGTGCTTTGTTGCTAGCTCACATTTCATGATGAATATAGAGTAGCAAACTTCTTTGTTACTATGCGTGGCTCCTCACAGGGTAGGAGATGGCACCAAAGTAAACTGAGGCAGAGCATGACTAAGCATCTGCATTAGTCAGACATTAGCATAGAAACTTATCTGTAAGATTATACAAATACACATTTGTAAATCATTGGAAATACTGTATTTTTAAACGGCTGGATTGATTTGCACATTACGACCTTAGTTTCACATCAGCTCTAACATTTTATTTTTTGCAGAAGCATTTACTCACCGTCCACTCTGTCACTTATTCAGTGTCACTCACTGTCACTTTTCTTGCTGTCACCATGTTGCTAGATAACATCTACTAGAAGTTTTAATGTAGTTTGATGGAAGATTACATGTATAAAGTGTCATTCTTGTGAAATTGGAAATTAACATCCCTCAACCTGGTTTGAAAAGATGGACTACCAAAATATAATAAAGCAATTTCTGCATGAGTCTTAGAAAGAAAAAATCTCAGATGTATACCATTTGGCCCAACTGTTAGTTGAGAACATTATTTGGAATGAGGCTGAATGTATAGGATTTGGAAGTCATGATGATAGACTGGCTATATACTGTTGGAAAATTTCATCAAAATATTTATTAAATCCTGTACATATGGTTCCATTCTGAGGCATGCATGACCATCACCTAAAAGCCCAACTGACAGAGAGATAGTCCAGACACAGCCGCTGATTTCTGTTAGAGGAGGGGTCTCCAAGGACCTGTTTCAGTGATACTTAAAACGTTTCCCAGCATGGCTAAGGAAGGTCTATTTCAGATCGTTAAAGAGGATGGATAAAATTAGAATCGTGCCTCAGTAATAGAGGTATCATGACTCTGGAGCAATTGTACTGGCTGTTTCAGTGGAGATATTTTTCAAAGACATAAATGATCCTTGGTGAATGCAGAGGAGACGGGCTATTTTTCTTTACAAAGCTCACATTTCTTATGAGGAAGACATAGGGAGTTTTGCAATGGCTTTGGCTCTATTTTATAACATCTGAGGGTGTCAGCTTCTTTAATTATATGAAGACAAGTTCTCATATAATAAGCATGTGTTAGAGAAGCAAACAGCAATCCTAAAAGAAAGAATATGATAATTGGAATCATGTAGCTGCTTTATGTGTGCAAGACTTTGTACCACTTTGCTTAGATGAGTTACATGCTTAAATGGCAGTAGGAAGGAGAAATGTCCTATTTGTGGAGTTTATTGCCTGACTTATAAAGTCTTAACTACTTTTGTTAGTAAAAAATAAAAGATGGTTAACGGAGGGTAATGTGAAGAGACTATAACTCTTAAAGAATATAGCCATATTCACCTTTTTGTAACTTGATCGCATTTAAATATTAAACATGAAGTGTCATTTGACCTGGAGGTATATACTGTTACAACCTAGATTTTGTTTGTTTTTTTGTTTATTTTAGTTTTGCTGTTTGGTTTTGGTTTGGCTTTGGATCTTTAAATTTTTTAATTTTATTTTAGGGAGAGAGAGAGCATTTGTAATCAGGGGAGGGGCAGAGGGAGAGACAGAGAGAGAAAGAGAGAGAATTCCAAGCAGGCTCCACATTCAGTCCAGAGCCCAATGCAGACTTTGATCCCATGACCCTGGGATCATAACTTGAGCTGAAGTCAAGAGTCAGATGCTCAAGCGACTAAGCCATCCAGGTGCTCCTTGTTTTATTTTTTTTAAGTAGGCTCCATGCCCAATGTGGTGCCTGAACTCACAACCCTGAGACTGAGTCATATGCTCTATCAACTGAGCCAGCCAGGCACTCCTAACCTAGATTTTTAAAATGAAAGTAGAAGTTGAATAGATAAATAATTTTGATGTAACCTCTCCATAGATAATGATATATGATAGATTATTTCTGAATTCTCCTTCATTTTATAATTTAAACTAGAATGTTTTTAGTCTTTTAGTCAAAAGAGTCATTTTTATTTTGGGGTGTATATATATATGTATATATATATATTATTCTTGGTAATATGTAAACTCAATGTTGGTTTAATAAGATTTATTCTTTTTTTTAAGTTTATTTATTTATTTTGAGAGAGAGAAACAGAGAGAGAGGCAGAGAGAGAGGGAGAATCCCAAGCAGCCTCTGTCAGAACCTGATGTGAGGCTCTATCCCATGTACCATGAGGAGATTATGTCCTGAGCTGAAATCAGTAATCTCAACAGTCAGATGCTTCACTGACTGAGCCACCCAGGCACCCCTAATAAGACCCATTCTTTAACAAAGAAAACGTCTGAATTTTTAGCAAGTTAGGTAATTTAGACAAAGGTAGAGTAAGCATGACTTCTTTAAAAAATGTTTATAATATATTGCTCTTCTCTTTCAAATCAGGCTTACTAACAACAACTTGTCCTTTGGACTATGAAATAAAAACTCAGCACGTCCTGACCCTTCTGGCCCTGGATGATGGCGTACCCGCGCTTTCTTCATCCCAGACTTTGACAATTACTGTTCTTGATGTAAATGATGAGGCACCAGTATTTCAGCAGAACTTGTATGAAGCTTCAGTTAAAGAAAACCAAAATCCAGGGGAGTTTGTCACAAGGGTCGAAGCTATGGACAGAGATTCAGGTAATTTAAAAGTATAGAAACTTGGCAATTAATGCCCAAAACAAAAATTCACAAAATTTAAACTAGTATGGCTCAGAAAAATGAAGACAGTTGCTACTTATGTCAAACTTCTTATAGTTCTTTAATTAGCATACACATGAAAACATATACACATGTGAAGATAATGTGTGCTTCAATATGGCATTTGCTTGTATCGATCTATATTATTTATGTTAGAATGATGCACACCTAATTAATATATATGCAATTTATTGATCTGATCTTGATAATAAACAAGTATAGACAAAGTATCACGTTTTCAGAGTGTAATGGTTAGATGCATTGCATGGAAGAAGATAAATGGTTCTGTGTTTCCTCTATATTGAGCACAATGGAAGAGAGAGGATGTGTGGGTTTGAATCCTAGAACTACCCTTTACTTCAGATGTGTAACTTGGAACAAGTAGCTAATTCTGTCTGTTCCTCTGTTTCCTTATTAGGAAAATGGGGATAATGACAGTGCCTAGTTTGTAGTTCTGTTATGAGTATGAATGAGTTATTACATGGTAAGAGCTAAGACCAGTGACTGGCACAATCAGTGGTCAATAAATGTTAACTTCTGTCATTACTGTTATTATTCTTATTAACGTCAGACACTATGTCCAGACAAATGACTTTGAGGTAAGTGAATTGACTGTAGCTAGGAATTTGTAAATATCTTAGAATTGCTTTTCAATATCACCGTGACTTGTTTCTATCTAAGATTGTAACTTTAATAATATTTATATTTAAAAAAATAATTCTGAAAATTACAGTGAAGTATTGACCATTGAAAAAGCATATGCCAATTTTCCCCATCTGAGGTAATACAAATTGCTTAATAAGCTCATCTTTTTATCTCTTGTATATATTTCTTTTAATTATGTAAGATTCAGGCGTACATTATAATTGGACATCTGTATACACTCCAAAGTGGTTACTTCCCCAAATCTAGTTACCATCTGTCACTCTACAATTGACCTTTTTTACCCTTTTCACCCATCTCCAACCCCCTTCCCCTCTGGTGACCACCAATCTATTCTCTGTATCTATGAGTTTCTCTTCGCTTCATTTTGTTTTGTTTTGTTTTTAGATTCCACATGTGACTGAATCATAGGGTATCAGACTTTCTCCTTCTAACTTATTTCACTTAGTATAATATGATCAAGGTCCAAAGGTCCATCCATGTTGTTGCAAGTGGCAAGATTTCATTTTTTTTTATGACTGAGTAGTATATATATATATCATATTTTTTAATCCATTCATCCATTGATGGACATTAGGTTGCTTACGTATCTTGGCTACTTTACATAATGCTTTAGTGAGCATAGGGGGTACATATGTTTTTTCAAATTAGCATTTTCATTTTTTTTTGGATAAATACCCAGTAGTGGAATAGAGGGATCATGTAGTCTTTCTATTTTTAATTTTTTGAGGAATTTCCATGATGACGTTTTCCACCAATTTATATTCCCACCAACGGTGTATGAGTATTTTCTTTTCTCCACATCCTCTTCAACACTTGTTATTTTTTCATAATAGCCATTCTAAAGGTGTGACATGATATATCATTGTAGTTTTGATTTGCATTTCCCTAATAGTTAGTTATGCTGAACATCTTTTCATGTGCCTGTTAGCCACCTATACATTTTCTTTGGAAAAATGTTTATTCAGATCCTCTACACTTTTAAAAATCAGGTTGTTTGGTTTTTGTTGATGTTGAGTTGTATGAGTTCTTTATATATTTTGTATATTAATGCCTATCAAATGTATGATATGCAAATATCTTCTCCTGTCCAGGAGGATATTTTTTTTTTGTTTTGATGACGATTTCCTTTGATACACAGAAGCTTTTTAGTTTGATGTACTCCCATGTGTTAATTGTTGCTTTTGTTTCCCTTGACTTTGGAATCTGATCCACGAAAACATCACTAGGACTTAAGTCACAAAGTTTACTGGCTATGTTTTCTTCTAGGAATGTTATGATTTAGGTTTTACATTCAAGTGTTTAATTCATTTTGAGTTAATTTTTGAATTTGGTGTAAGATAGTGGTCCAGTTTCTTTTTCTTTTTCTTTATTTTTTGCATGTAACTGACTACTTTGCTCAACATCATTTATTTTAAAAACTGTTCTTCCTCTATTGTTTATTTTTAGCTTCTTTTTCATAAATTAATTGTCCATGTATGGGTTTGTTTCTGGGGCTCTTGATTCTGAGTTCCATTGATCTGTGTGTCTGTTTCTGTGCCAGTACCATACTGTTTTGATTACCATTGCTCTGTGGTATGAAATCAGGATCATAATACCTCCAGCTTTGTTCTTTCTCACCATTGCTTTAGCTATTTGGGATCTTTTGTGATTCCATACTAATTTTAGAATGATTTGCTCTAGTTCTATGAAATATGCCTTTGGAGTTTTGATAGGAATTGCATTGAATCTATGGCTTCCTTTGGAAAGTATCGATATTTTAACAATATTAATTCTCTCAATCCATGATTGTGCCAATCTTTGTAAGTTCATATTTGTATATAGCAAGTGTCATTCCATAATCAGTATAATTTTTTAACAAGATTGTAATAGATAAGTCCATGGAAATATTAATATTAACAGGAGCATTTTCTTCCCAAATGGCTCGTCCAAGGGGTAAAAAAGACTTCCTTGAGCTTTTAAACTACATTATATACCATTTTAGATGCTTTGCCCCTTTGAAATATATCATCTTTTAATGAGATGAATTTTACATAAATTTGTGTATGATGCTGCAAAAACTTTCTTTTCAGAGAGTAACCTAATTTTCTCTCCTTTGACCAGAATGGGGCAGTATGATCACAGAATTATTCTTACTATGCTCAAAGACAGAGGACTAGAGTGTGGTACCAATTGCTCCTCCCAACTTGTGCTTATAGAATTTATTTAGCACATTTTTGGCAGTATGGTTTTAAGGGTGATAGACACAATGGAAAATATACATAAGCTTTGTGTTTCACAGTAGTTCAATAAAGTTCTCTTAGAGGGCTCTCTGTCATAAATTGAACAACGCAGGGCCCTGGGCAACACAGAAACTACTTCCTAAAGTTCACAGACGCATTCTGAACATGTCAATGATGTGAATCAATGCAATCATTAGGATTCATTACTCATTAGCAATTCTTAAAATATATAAACTGCTTCTTCTTCTTGACCTTACTTTATCTTATTAATTTTATTTTTGGTAGTGGACATTAGTAAGGAATCTCTTGCTTTAATGTATGAAGAGAAAGAAAAGCATTTCTCTCAAATTTTTACATGTATCATCTAAAAATGATTACCATGAATATGCATTCCAATTTTTACTGTCAAGTTGCCTAACGTTACTGTTGTTTTCTTTTAGAATAAACCTGTTACTTAAACTGACTTGAAGAGTTCATTACACTAGAGATTATGGTTTGTCGGGTGGAGTATTTAGATGCAAAATTATTGTTTTTCGGGCTTTGCATTTATGAATGTTTGAAATACACATTAGTGCCTTCATGAGGCTCATGCACCTTCACATGTTGTGGAGACAATTTTGGCTTATTCTTAATATCTGTATTTTTATGAGGCCAGATTTGTTAAGCAAATGCTTTTGAATATATTTTCCCTCAATCTTTCATTGATTTTGTTTTTTTGTTTTTTATCTTTGCTCGTTGGTTTAAAACAATGAAAAAGAATTATGCATGAGAATTAATTTACATAGTCAAGATTTTAACACAACTGGCATCACATTGGATTTTATGAATGGTTTACTTTTTCGTATGTATTTTTAAAAAGACTATAGCGTTACTTAATACTAGAAAGCTTAACATATGTTTTTAAAATTGTAATCTTACAGTGTTGTTTGGCATTCAAACCCCATGGGACTTGGAGCCCTGCATGTTTATGATGTATGACTCACACTAGTACTAACAGGAGTTTCTTCATATATTAAAAGGGAAAAACAACTACCAGGTTTTAACTAAGATATTAAAACTGCTACAGCTTTTGGTACCACCAACAGGAGTTCTATTGTTAGTGAGAAAAGATTTACCGCTGGGGGCACCCCTGCCCTTGTCCCTGGAGAAAGGGCGCCCCACTAGGGCAGATGAATCACTCCTGCTGATACATTTGCTCATTAGTGGTGAATACAAGATCATTTAACCGCACGTTGCCATGCAAAAATGTAAAATTCTATAATGAGATTTTATTCTCTGTTCCATAAAAAACTGTACAGTTGACCCTTGACCATCGCGGGGGTGAGGGGTGCTGACTGCCCCTCCCATAGTCAAAAATCCACGTTTAACTTTTGAGTCTCCAAAAACTTAACCACTGGTAGCCTGCAGTTGACCAGAAGCCTTACCGATAATGTAAACAGTCAATGAACACATGTTTTGTATGTTACATGTGTTATATACTGCATTCTTACAATAAAATAAGCTAGAGAAAAGAAAATGGTTTTAAGAAAATCAGAAGGAAGAGAAAATAAATTTACAGTACTATACTGTATTTATATTTAAAAATCCACGTGTATGTGGATTTGTGCAGTTCAGATTGTGTTCTTCAAGGGTCAACTGTATTCTCTGTCTGGGTTTATTTGGAATTAACTCTGGATCTGATTTCCTGAAAAATGTCTTGTGCTGGATTACAACTTCACACCACAGCCTACACTTGGAGCGAGGGAGAAACACTGCCGTGTCGGCATTTCGTCTATTTCATTGACTCTAAAACACCATTCACTCTAAAATGCATCTAATTTCAGAAATACTCCAATGTTGGGGAAAATATGTCTTAGAATTAATGAAATAGTAAGCATGAAAAAAAAAAAAGGAATAAGAACCACTTATAATTCCCTCGCCCAGACAATCACTATTAAAACTTTGATTTAGTCTTATTGAGTACAGGGTATTGTTATTGTATAATTGTTTACTCATCAGTCTGTCCTTTAGGCTGGGAACTTCTCATGGATTCAGAGCATGTTTTATTCATTTTTA